GTGCCCACCGAGAGACGAAGAATCCCCAATTGGTCGAACATTTGTAGAAAGACTGGAAGGTTGTATTCAGAGCTTTGATTACATTGTAGAGTATTTGAAAACTGAATTTCGTTGGACGGCATATGTCGATATCTGCCAAACTCTGGTTGGTATCAAAGAAACATTATTCATACTATTTGAAAGATTCTGCGATGTTCACGAAGAATGTGATAAAATATATTCCAACGAGTGTAATGTGTTGTATACAGGTAAACATGGACGACCTAAACTAATTGTGAACCAAGAACAAATTCAATATCTGTCAGACTTGGGCTTTAGCATGAACGATATTGCTTGCTGCCTGGGAATATCTGTTCGAACACTTTTCAGGAGAAGAGAAGAATTTGGATTAACTAATGAAAGTCGCTATTCAAATATAAGTGATGAAGTTCTTTTGCGAGTCATACGTAAAATACGCGATACATTTCCTTGTTATGGAGAAACATATATTATTGGATGTTTGCGAGGTTAAGGTATTGTTGTTCCCAGACAGCGTGTAAGAAATGCATTGCATTGGTTGGACCCAATCAACAGAGCATTGCGTTGGCTGAAAGTTACCCACCGTATACCAGCGTATAATGTCCCTTTTCCTAATGCACTTTGGCACATTGACTCACACTTAAAACTCATCAGGTGGAGATTTGTCATTCATGGGTGTGTTGATGGTTTTTCCAGACTAATTGTATATTTGCATTGTAATACCAACAATAAATCAAATACTGTATTGGCATTGTTCAAAAAAGGGGCCAGGCAGTGGGGTCTACCGTCTCAAGTTAGAACAGACAGGGGTACAGAAAACTTACAAGATGGTTCACATATGCTAGTAATGCGTGGACTTGGCAGAGGTAGCATACTGACAGGACCATCAACACATAACCAGCGTATTGAAAGCTTGTGGAGGGAAGTACATAGGTGTGTAGTAAAACCATTCAAATTTCTTTTCCATAGAATGGAAAACTTAGGATTATTAGATATTGAAAATGATATTCATAATTACGCAGTGCATTATGTGTATCAGCCTCGTATTAAACAAAGTGTTAGGTAGTTTTATCATTGGGTATAATTGTCATTCAGTTCGTACTGAACATAATAGAACACCGGAACAGCTGTGGACTTTAGGGATGTTGAAAGCAAGAAATAGTGGAAGGAGTGGCTCTCTCGATGATTTGGTACAAGTAGATGACACGTATGGTATTGACAGAGATGGACCAGTGCCATCTCTTCAAACAGTGAATGACATACAAGTGTCACCTGTCTACATAGACTTGGGTGAACAGACATGTCTGTTAACATCAAACATAAAACCTCTGGAAGTAGATGATATTTATGAATACCAACAGTATATTGATACAGTTGTCATTCTGGAGTGTATTCTGGGCAGCTAGAAAGTTCGACCATAGTTAATCATTCAATGACAAATTTTATGCTATCTGTCTCTGTAGATGATTTTGAACCATTGTTCTGAAGTGGAAGTTTGTACATTGTATTGTATTATCTGATAATTTTATTGAGATTAAGGTGTGCATATTATTAATTATAATAATATAATATATGAAATATTCAGTGTTCATTTTTGCTGTATCATAACATTGTTTTCCCCGTTTACTTGAAACTTGGTATCTACATACACATGTATTTGTTGAATATCTAACCCCAGTTTTTATTTACTACCGTTAACAACTGAGAATAGCTACTACGACTACTCGGTGTAGTCACCAATGACTGTTACAGTGGGTGTAAAGGAATAATGATTGTTTCCTCGATAAGCACAGCATTACGTTTTCACTAGTGCAACAATGTTTGCATTTTCATTTTTAAAAACTGACTCCATACGTCAGCCAGACTGTTTGGTGTAAAGTTATAGCTTTGGTACGTTTAGGAAAATAGAACAGCAAAAGTTTACAAATTTACCTTAACATACATACCGGTACGGTCTGGTTTCTACTATAAATTATATTTCATATTGAGCAAGAGGCCATTTTTACCATAATTTTGAACTAGTGCATACGTGTTTGTGTTATGTTTAGTTGACCATAAATTATGTAATTAAATATAGGGGGTGGGTTTTCTTCAAAATTTTTTTCAGGATGTGAATTTGGTTTCCTTGACCATGATTTTTCACCAAAAGTTGGTGCCACAAATATCCATATAGAATTAATATAAAATAATTAATGTTCTCTAGGAGAGAACCAAGGTAACTGACAAGGCTTTAGTTTGCACAGAAGTTCTGTATTATGAAATTATCGTGTTAGATTCAGGTACATGTAATGTGGGTGCCAATAACCGTTGAGTTTGAACACTAGTTTGTCATATACTGGTAAACAGAAACATTGTTGCACTATTATAAATATCTTGCAGTTCTCATTAATAAAACAATCATATTTTTATTGCTTTACACTTGCTGTAACTGTCATTGGTGACTACACCGACTAGTCATAGAAGTTACCAGTAATTATCTCGCATATTAAAGCGGAAATCACCTGTGCCCTCGCATGAATTGAGACCTGAGACAATAACAAGACGTGTTAAAAAATGCAGTCTCATGACTAGACAAACACTTGTATTAATTTATATACAATGTACTAATAAGTACTTTCAACATATTTTGTATATATTTGTGTATATTTAGTTTTCTTAAACGAATTGTATCTTTTGTATTTGTATGGTTTTAGCATTTCCTTTATGCATCTTTGCAATAGTTTATTCAAATGGATTGAAACTTTGTACATATCTAAAAGTCTCACAAGGTGGACCAAAGGTAACCACAGCAGGTAGAACATTTCAAATATTTGATTTGTTCAATGATGAAAAATGAAATTTTATGTGTCAAAATATTCTTACTTTGGTATTAAATTGGTCATGATCAAATTGAAAAGCGATCAACAGACTTGTATTTGTGTGTATGTAAATTTGGTGCAGGCCAGTAGTGTATTAGTGAGACATCTCTGTTATGGGATATATTTATTTGAACTAAATGGTACACACAGCGGTGAAGTTTATAACTGTTTACCCATTTTTTACTAGTCATTAACGATGACATATAATTCCTTCATTTTATGCATTGAAATTTGAGGACATCACAGAAAAGCATCGATGGTACAGTTCAAAAACTGTCTTATCTAGCACACTAATGCTAACTTGGAATTGTTGGCCTTTGTGTATACTATACCGTATTCTTGTAATAACCTCATTTATGATAACATCTGATTCTGGCACAAGTTCATTTGTTTGTGCGTGCGTGTACATTGTACGTGCATGCATGCATGCATGCGTGTGTGTGTGTGTGTGTGTGTGTGTGTGTGTGAATGCAAAACTATGATTGGGTAGCTGCAGTTAAATAGGACTATGACAATCAGTCAATTTGTTCATTCACTGTTGTGCTCAGCATATTGTGTGGAATGTTGTATTAAGATGAAGTCAGAAAACAATGACTTGTAATTTTTGTTTATATAAATAAAAAAGCGTTTCATCATGATTCAATTAACGTTGCACCTCACAAAGTCCTAACATGTCCATATTACTTTATAATATAGTACAAGTAATACATTATTTAAATGTAAGTAAATAAATGTACAGTCAATTTATTCTGACTTCTGTATGATTTACAGATATACCAACACAGGACTTGGATCTTTGCTTATATTTTCCTGTAACTGCATATTAGTGAAGTCATCTAGTTTTTATTTAAACTTAGAACATTCTAAATAACACAATACACAACGAATCAGACTGACAAACATTTCAAAATATATAGGTATATATGTTTTTAATAAATTATGAATGCACAGCAAGAAGTTCAAATGATAAACATAGTTCAACTCTGGTTACCTTGCCATTTGTTGGTCTTCTTTGAAAGTATGGTCAGCATATATGTCAGTTCCAAAGGCCACACTCGGATGTTGATTTTTTATTAGAAACAAAAAAATCAGAAGGAATGTGTCTGCTGTTGGTGGCACAAGCTCATGTTCGTGCATATGCAGATAGACTTTATTTTTGAAAACAAAAAAACATTGCATCAATCAATCATTTTTTAAAAATAAACTTTGTACTAAAAACACATTTATTTTGGGCCTTACAACTAGGACTAACCCCCAAATCATGAAAAGAACAAACACGAGACGATACAATATACATACTCAAATGGCCAGAATAAGCAAATGAACATTTTGATTATAAAATTACCAAACAGACGATCAGTTTAATATAGTGATTCTTGTCAACTTTTAAAACAAACATTAAAAATGCTAGCAATATAATATAAACTAATTAAAAAAAAATAGTTTCACAACATGTATAACCGCAAAGAAACAAGCAAACTGTCATATTTGTTGACCTACAGAATTAACTTAGTATGATTGGTAGTTTTAGAATTAGTTATTAACATAGTTTTTAGCTCCGCTGTCGACTTTGTCGAGCGGAGCTTATCATATGAGTGATTGTCCGTCGTCGTCGTCGTCCGTGTCAATGTTTTACTTTTTCGACTTCTTCTTGAAAACTACAAGCCTGAATGCTTTGATACTTGGTGTATATGTACCTTGGGTAGACCTCTCTTAGGTTTGTTCATTTCATGTTGATATCTTCAATTCTCTAATTTTGGTGAACATTTTTGTCATTTTTTGGTAAAAAGTGATATTTTCGACTTCTTGTTAAAAACCGCAAGTGCAATTGCTTGGACATTATATATATAGGTACTACATGTGGACCTCTCTCAGATTTGTTCATTTTGTAATGATATCTTTAATTCTCTAATTTTGGTGAATATTTTTGTCATTTTTGGTAAAAAGTAATATTTTCTACTTCTTGTTGAAAACCGCAAGTCCAATTGCTTTGATATTACATACTAGTATATAGGTACTACATGTGGACCTCTCTCAGATTTGTTCATTTTGTAATGATATCTTCAATCCTCTAATTTTGTTGAATATTTTTGTAATTTTTGGTAAAAAGTGATATTTTCGACTTCTTGTTGAAAACCGCAAGTCCAATTGCTTTGATATTACATATATAGGTACTACATGTGGACCTCTCAGATTTGTTTATTTTGTAATATCTTTAATTTTCTAATTTTGGTGAATATTTTTGTAATTTTTGGTAAAAAGTGATATTTTCGACTTCTTGTTAAAAACTGCAAGTCCAATTGCTTTGGTATATTATACATATAGGTACTACATGTGGACCTCTCTCACATTTGTTCATTTTCTAATGATATCTTCTGTTCTTTAATTGAAATGTGCATTGCTAACAGCGGAGCTATCTCAGCTGAGAGGCTGCTTGTTTTCTGTATTTTACATTCAACTCGTCAAAAATCAGTGAAAATAAACTCCATACAAAAAAAAGTCAATTTCAACTACTGTAAAATACTTTATTTTTGCTTGGAATTAATTTGCACTATTTTTGCTGAAGGAATGATTCAGTGAAAATAAAATCCTGTGAATATACCTTTTTTCCTATATTTTACATTTAACTCGTCAAAAATCAGTGAAAATAAATTCCATACAAAACACCTAAAATGTCTTTTCAGCGAAAATGAATACAAACTAAAATGAGGTATTTTACAGTATGAAAATATATTTTATTATCTCTCATTCACCTCAATACATTGCCATCTGAAAGCCACCATGATTAGCAAAATGAATGAAAAAAAAACTGCATCAACCGACGATGTGTTAATACATGAGTCATGCTTTTGATGAAAGAATTTACTGTGATGGTCTTAATTAATTATTATGATTGTGGGTAGAACATTACTAAATTTTACCAAAATATGATAATATGTATCAGTAGGATCATCGAAACACAAATATTTTTTTTTCTCTGCCTCATTCAAACTGAACATTATTTTTGTAAGTCTTCATGCACTGTACATGTTATAATTAAAATATCTGATTTACCAAACTTGTAAATAAAGAATTGACAGCAATGTGGTTGTTCTTAAAGCCATATCTGAATTTTCTCTTTTTATATTTGAATTACTACAACTATTGTGATGCTATAAAACCGTTTATTTTCACTGATATTTAATTTCACTATTTTGATATTTTGAGCATAATCACTGTGTTTTACAAATTTCCCAGTATATCAATGAGTACTATTATTATTTTACATGTTCAAATAGATTTAATTTAGCAGATTGACTCATCAGCACAAACAGCAAAATAAAACCCAATAAATAATTAATGCATTTACAGTATACTGTTTAATTTCCTTTAAGGTCAACTACCAATTTTATATTTATCATTTGATGTATTCCACAACTATTATCAATCTAATTTTTCAATCTGACTCTCTGAAAAATTAATGATATTTCACTCTTTTCAATAAGCTGTAATATATAGACGAATTTCTGTTCACTGCGAGATCTCGCATAATACATAAGAAGCACAGATCGAACGAACATCTGTCGCAAAAAATCAAATGATTTGATTTTGAACTTGAATTTTTTTTATTATAGTTCACTGTTGAGTGCTGAGGAATACTTTACATTTACATGTGTACAGCACATGTTAACAGGAAAATACCCAAAATATATGTTGGTTTGTTCGCGTTTGTCTAATTCCATGTGATGTTTTGACGCTACTACAATATTGTGACTCTTGTTTTTATGTTTGATTTCACAAATAATTCATAATCTTGCAGTGAACAGAAAATGGTCTACTATCTGTACTACTATGTGCTCTCAGAGTATATAGAACTGTAAAGCCGTGAGTGATGAGACTAGGTTCAGACTGTAGACATCATATATTATTTATCAAGGTCTTAATGTGATGCAGTATCTCTCATCAGTGTACACCTCAACCTTATATTCACACAATATCCAGATCTCAATCACTTACTGTGGAACAATTTGAATGCTATATGATTTCTCGCCAAATTCTTAGAGAAACATTTATTAAATTTTTAGGTAATTTTCAATAATTTCTTCATTAATTTTAGACCAAGCAAGCATAATTTTCAATACCCATAGTTTGTGAGCAAAATTGTTAAAAAATATAGAAAAAATTCAAGTTCAATTTTGTGAAATTTGACTTTGTTGTTTAAAAGTGAAACCACTTGATTTTCCTGAGAACCCATTTTAACAGATTTTAATGGTGTTCCTGAGGCCAGGGGGTAAAGTAACTTCCGGGAAATTTCGTCTCTGTATAAATTTCCTTACCTCATAAAAAATCACGGAGTAGATGACTCACCTGACTTTGTGACCTTAATAGGTGATTGTATGTCTGAATATAGTCATCATGACTGGTCAATTTCAATCAAACTTTGTGTGATAGCATTACATATCGAGTTGCAGGTGCTTGTTCATGTTATGAACAATGATTTAATTAAATGTGGCCCACTGGAGGCCATTTTTGCCTGCAATATACATATTGGTTTCTTTGGTATGCAATAGACAATTCAAAGTTGATATCGTAGTTACCAGGTGAGGGCCCATGTCCAGATAACCCCCTCAATTTTGGTACAATAAAGAAATTGGGGTCATGTACTATTTTTTGTTTGTCGTATTAAGAGTTGACTTCTTTGCAGTCTGCTGTGATTCTGATAAAAATTCTTGAAAAATAAATGTCAATTGCTTAAAATGAGGGGTGAACACGAAATAGCTGTGACTAGTGCATCATGTTGGGTGATTTCAATCAGAAAGTGCATCATTTTGGATGATTTCAATCAGCAAGTGCATCATGCTGGGTGATTTAAATCAGCAAGTGCATCATGTTGGGTGATTTAAATCGAAAAGTGCATCATGTTGGGTGATTTCAATCAGCAAGTGCATCGTGTTGGGTGATTTAAATCGAAAAGTGCATCATGTCAGGTGATTTAAATCAGAAAGTGCATCATGTTGGGTGATTTCAATCAGAATATGCATCATGTTGGGTGATTTCAATCAGAATATGCATCATTTTGGGTGATTTCAATCAGCAAGTGCATCATGCTGGGTGATTTAAATTAGCAAGTGCATCGTGCTGGGTGATTAAATCAGAAAGTGCATCATGTTGGGTGATTTCAATCAGAATGTGTATCATGCTGGGTGATTTCAATCAGAATGTGCATCATTTTGGGTGATTTCAATCAGCAAGTGCATCATGCTGGTTGATTTCAATCAGGATGTGCATCATGCTGGGTGATTTCAATCAGAATGTGCATCATTTTGGGTGATTTCAATCAGCAAGTGCATCATGCTGGGTGATTTCAATCAGAAAGTACATCCTGTTAGATGATTTAAATCAAAGTTCATCATGTTGGGTGATTTTATTAAGACAACACATCATATGAACTGATTTCAATCAGACAATGCATCACATGGACTGATTTTAATTAGACAATGCATCACATGGACTGATTTTAATTAGACAATACATCACATGGACTGATTTCAATCAGACAATACATCACATGGACTGATTTTAATTAGACAATACATCATATGGACTGATTTTAATTAGATAATACATCACATGGACTGATTTTAATTGGACAATACATCATATGGACTGATTTTAATTAGTGCATTTTCAGCCAAATGTTTCAAACTCATTATATCCTTTGTTTTCTCAATAGGATGGTCACTTGAGAGATACCAGTTTTACATTTCAAGCTTTTGGAAAAGATTTTATCTTAGATGTTCACCTTAATGAGTAAGTTATTATAGTATTACATACAACTCAACAAAACATATGCTGACTAACATATTTAATTTACAGTATACAGTTACTTCTATTTAATAAAGTAGTTAAATAAAATGTTATATATTACCAAAAATATATTATTTAATATAATAAATTGGTTACAATTATATACAATATATTTTTATAGTTTTGAAAACAATCATTTTGTCGTATTATTGATGGCGCTGGAATTTCAGGTGGCCACATAGCTGAGGTGAAGCTGTATTAGGCTTTGTAATGCTAATGAGTAGGCGTTTGTTTTAGCCAATACAGTGTAGTGCTGTTAACAGCACACTTCAATTTGGATCTTGAAGGAACAAGTCAGGTTGCCCTGCTAAGTGGGTTAGAAAAAAATTCGACATCATAGCTTTTCCAGGCACTTACTGTACTACTTACCATATATTGGTGTATTTCTGAGCCAGTTTTCTGCTCTTCAAGTATGAGATCATCCATAAAAATTGAAGTTGAAATCACATTATATCGATTTACCCCCCTCTTTCCCTCACATATACACACTACACAATTTTTTATTTTACTGCTTTCTTAGCAGCTTTGTGAGTGTCCTGGTAATTTGCACATCGCACGTAAACAGTAAAAAAAACATAATGGCTGTAAGGATCTATCCATCTCAGTCAGAGTCTGTGATTTATTTTCCTGCTCAAATTGCAGATTAATTGTACTTGCTAAACATTGAAACTGTATATTACCTGTCTTAATTAGTGAGTAAATAAATAAATGTCTTGATTTGCAAAAAAATTTGTTATGTCTAGCTAGAGTCGACAGCACTTTATGATGGATGTCATGAATGTTGTCTTCTATCCTTTCCATAAATGCTTCACCTGTACCCTATTTACTTCACAACCAATTTAAAAGTGATGATAGATTTAATATAATATTACCGGTAAATAATTTCTTATTTTATCGTTGGATGAGTTTAGTGTTTATTACTAGAAATGCTAGCGTATATTTGTTTTACTACTTTCATTGAGCGCAGCACAATTCAAGCTCCACAGTTCCTGTCAGTCAGCCGGCAAGTGTCAGTACTGTTTAATGAATAATGTGTTAATGAAAAATACAATGGAAATACTAGTGTTTGGTCAACCTGTCAGAGTAGTGGTGTAAATAGTAGAGTTACAGCCCTGTTACACTATTATGATGTTCACCTCTCCACACAAATGTCACAATGAAACTTTAGGTTTCTGTAATATTCTTTACAGAGGGATGTCCTTGCAACAAATAATTTCGTTTTACTTAAATCGCTGATGTTGTTGTACCATGGCATGTTCGCATGTAAAATAACTTATTTGCTCAATAAGAATTGTGAATACTACAAGCACACATGAAATGTCATTTACTGTATAATCATTTACACATACCAACGGTAAACATATACCTGTTAATGTAAAATACTTTATTTTTGCTTGGAATTAATTTTCGCGAAATGATTGATTCAGTGAAAACAAAATCCAGTGAATATACCTTTTTTCCTATATTTTACATTCAACTCGTCAAAAATCAGTGAAAATAAATTCCATACAAAATACCCAAAACGTCTTTCAGCGAAAATTAATTCCAGCTTAAAATAAAGTATTTTACAGTAGTGCATTTATTATATGAAAACGCACACTGCTTGGCATAACTTCCTTGGCATTTTATTGGCCACCACAGTATACCTCTGTCATACTTGTCGATTCACACCTCTAAAAGTTAACCTTATGTTGTATGTGTACTTTTGAATTTCCAAAACAATTAATTTATGCATTGCTTTTTAATTTCCTTTTTCTTTTAGTGTTTTATTTCCAGAAAACTTTGTAGAAAGATATTACCTAGAGGATGGAACTCTAGTTACAAAAGTTCCTGAATCCATGGTGAGTACATGTGCTGGTCTTATTTAATTTTTATTTCTATACTAACCTTTGTGGGAATACAAAATAAGAAATCCATATATCAGGTCATGTTGCCTATGCTTATGCTAAGCATGTGAAAAGCTAAAATTGAATTGCTGCTCAAACAAAAATTAACTTCCAGCTATATACATGCTGTGTATACAGTAAATGCATTATTTACTCTCTTTATTTAATTTTGCTATTTTTGCTGAAGAGTATACAATAATAATATTGAATTTATTGCATCCTTAGAAATAATTTCCATTGGTTGAACAGCAATAAAATGTTAGTAATAAAGTACAATACATATAAAATTAAAGTAAAAGTAAAATGTCAGTTATTGTTATTTCTGATTTCAAATATTTTGTATAAGTATTCACCAACTTGTCTTATTAGTACGTCTTCTCTTGAACTCATAATATATTTAAATATCTGGTTATCACTTTTCAATTCTTCTGGAATACTGATATTATTAAATAGCTTTTGTCTTTCTGTTTGGTACCTAAGACATTCCATGAAGAAATGTTCTTCATTTTCAATTTTGATCTGGGAACATTGCTTACAGATTCTGTCTTCTAAAGGTACATGTATTTTGGGTTGGGTATGTCTACCCTTCTCAATTTCTAATTACATGTAATCTGCTATTAAATTTAAATTCACATGGACTTATAAAATAACAATGGAACTCATTGTTTCTCTGTCAAATTAGTGAATTTAAAACCAAGTGAATACGCTCAATACATCAAAATAGTGAAAATAAATGGTTTTACAGTAGCCACTATATCGTACAATGTTACCTGTCATGTCAAAAACACAACCTTCACCTTCTATTTTAAGAATATTGCTAATTGTAATTTTCCAATAAAGCATCATTGGAATTGATTACGAGTACCTAAGATGGCAAACGTATCGTATTTCATGACAGCCTCATCTGGGAGTCTTAGATCAGATTATACCCTGACATAATGCCTCATTACCTATTTGATTTTATGATTTGATGCTGTAAAGGACATACATGCGTGCATCTAAAAACACATTTCCCTGTTCTAATGAAGTTTAAAAAAAGGAACTTATGAATTGATGTTCATGCATGCATTCATATGTGCATGTATATGTGCGTTTCCATCTGTATTTTTGACATGCAAATACATCTTGGCAGATGTATACCCATTTATTCGTTTCCTAATCTGATTAAAGATTGCTGATGCTGACCATTTTTATGCTTAAAATTATCAAAATGAATTATTTCTGCAATTCGTTATGAATGGAATTTTGTTCAAACTTGGTAAATACATGTACTTTAAATAAAAAAAGATCTTGATGTATGTCATTTTGTTTCCAGATTCAATTCAAAATAGCTGATTGGAAGCCATCTTGTTTTAAGGAGTTATTGTTTTTATTTTATCAGATGTTTCCAAATCTAAGATAAATTGTTAACCATTTAATTTTGTGAGAGACAAAGATTTACAGGTTAATAAATAAAAGGGAAAATGTGTAGCAGTGAAAATTTCATTGGGGTCCTACAGACGCATCACAACGACTTTCACAACAACTTGTCTTCATAAAAATCATTGATTCATCAAATCATAAAAATTCCTAGCATTGAAACAGTTTACTGGATTTCACTTGCTATGTATGTTTTACCAATGATTTAAAATTTAAAACTTGGTTACGGTACAATGTTGGTATGAAAACAACATTAATGCTCTTCACAACAGGAAGCAGTTCATTTATGTCTTTCTCATTTAACCTTGCTTGACACCATATTCATGGTGGTCTACATACAATAATGTGCTGTAAAGGGGGTAATTATTCACTGGGTTTTAATTTAGCTTATTTCGCTGACTAGAAAAATGCGCTAAATTAAAACACAGTGAATATGTAAAATTTAGCATAAAACACATTATCTAAATGACGAAACCGTGAATTTAAAACCCACTGAACATGCCTAAAATGGTAAATCAGTGAAATTTAAACCCAGTGAAAATTAGTCATTTTACAGTAACTGCATTCGCCCTTTCTCTCAACATGGTTACAATGTACTATTGTTAACTACACACTGGTGTAACTGCATCCACCCTGTCTCTCATTGCCATTTTTGTTTGTATGACATACAATGTACTATTCTTGGCTCCACACTGATGTCACAATATTAAATCGTGCTGAAAACAGTATGAAGAAACATGTGGTTTAAAACCAGAAACAATAATGTACTTTACTCTGTGCTAACATTGTACATTCTGGGTTTAGTATATGAAACGTTTGTACAACACCCAGTGACATTGTTCTATTATTTGATCTATCTAACAATGGCCTCCATAATATTTGTCTGTATATAAACATATAACACTGTGTACCAATAGACCCATGTCTACATCAAATTTGCTGAGAATTGCGTCATAACTGGGAGTACATTTTGTTTGGCCATATTCAGGCAATACCGGTAATAGCATTCATGTCTCTTCACCCAAAGAACAATATATTGTCTTCTTTGGAAATCAGTAATATACCTGATTATCAGAGGGATATATAGTGGTTACCAGCTGATGTCAGTCTGTTTGTACAGAGTCGTATCTGGAGCACTATTGCAGATAGACATTCACATAGTGTTATATTGAGGGCATTGCACGCTAGATCTGATCAACATATGTATTGTCTATATATTGTCATGTGACATCAATAAAAATAAAATAAATATCACATCTGCAGCACTATTGCAGATAGACATTCACATAGTGATATATTGGGGACATTGCACACTAGATCTGGTCAAATATTCAATATCTTTATAACATCTCAAGCACTGTTGCAATGAGACATTCAACCAGTACTTTCTTGAAGACATTGGGTTCATAATCTGATTTAACTATCATACAATGTATATGGTCAGTGTTTTGAACACTATTGCAGATACAGGCGTTCAACCAGTTGTAATAAAGATGCAGGGAGATTTGCCACCTCTGATGACTTTCTCATCACATTTGACCATATCCAATAGAGGCACTTATAAACCAAAACTTGCATATGTTGTATACTGAAAAGTTACAATATTAGTTTGCCCATAGAAACACCAAATACATTTGTTACTAACACAGCATATACTGTATTAATTATTTACCATATATTTTTGTTTGTCCACAGCATCATCACTGCTATTATCACGGTGAAGTTAGAGGTAGTAATTCATCTAAAGTAGCTATAAGTACATGTAGAGGCTTAAGGTAAGTCTTGTTATGTCATCATTATATTGTATTACAGACAAACTCAATGATGGTTCTGGTCTGAATCTCACAATCAAAATAGATTTGATTCACATGTCCTTTTTGCTCTAGGCTTTATACTACCGGATTCTGCCATAAATTCGCCCATCCCAAAATTTCAAAAAATTAATCATCATCAGGAAAGATTAAAATAACACCTTAAAAAAGTGTCGAAAAATCACCCAAACAGCGGTTTAACGGCCCAGGGTGAATTTACTGCAGAATCCGGTAATATGTGGACAACGTGATCATTTGTACTATTATATTGTGAACATTTAATGATTTAATGATCAAATTTGCAAATCTGTGAAAACTCTTAAAAAAGCATTTTGTTCATATTAACGCCATTAAATCACTACAGTCGCATGTTTAAATTTTGTGTGAACAAACAAATGTAATTTGTATGTTTTATATATGTCAGTATTGGTCCCATATCTAACACTACACAGAGTGACCGCTGTAACACTTCAATTCTTCAATTCTTCAAATTAAAAACATATCTAGCAGCAAATTCTAACAATTTATACTGTAAAATCTGTTTTAGAAACCGCGGCTTTTATTAAAATAGTACAATGCAACAGAGGGGATGCGCTTTCTATTAGAACATCTGCACATTGTGAAAATCTGTATTAGAAACCACGGCTTCTATTAAAATAGTACAATGCAACAGAGGGGATACGCTTTCTATTAGAACATCTGCACATTGTGAAAATGTGTATTTTTCAAAAATAATGGGTGCGACTTCTAATACAGACTTTATGATATTGTATCAATGGTTCAAACTCTACTTCCGTGCAATCCATACACATACTTCAAGGCATAATATAAATAAATCATCAATTGTATGTTATTCTCTTTCATTTCAGTGGTGTAGTATTTGATGAAGATACTACTTTTTATATAGAACCTTTAGAGGGTAATTCTTTAAAACATCTTATTTACAAGTCAGAAGATGTAAAGCGCCCTCACAGGGCAAATTGTGGTATGTTTGTTTTCGTCTTTATTCTAAAATACGGTACTTGTAAATGTAAAAGCAACCTAACCACCGGTATTGCAATATACATGTGTATGTGAAAAATCACATGTCTGATTGCTGCTTTGATATTATACATATAGGTACCTCAGGGGCACCTCTTTCAGATTTGTTCATTTTGTGATGATATCTTCATTTTTGTAATTGAAATGTGCATTGGAGCACTATCAGCCGAGAGGCTGCTTGTAGTTTTCACTGAATTCAATCATAATTTTAGACCAAACAGACAAAATGTGACATTCTAGTTTTTAATCAAGGGTCGGCAAGGGGTAATTTCGTAAGCTGTAATCAATTGTTTTTGTTTGAATAAATAAAAAACATAAATTCATAGACACGGGCAGGGTGTAAAATGTAATCAGCCATTTTATTCGTCATATTGTACAAAAACCTTAATTTTTGTAAGCGTACAAAGCATTTCCGACATTAAATGTTGTTATTTGTATTCAATTTCCAATTTTGATACTTAAACACAAATTATCAAATATATTATAAAAATGTAAAATGAAATTAGGAATTTGCCTTATCTGTAAAGTGTAAAAACCTATTTTTTACTGTAATGGAACTTTTTTTTTCCCCTGTAAAAATGTAAAATGCGGGTTTTATTAGCCCCTGTTCGGACAAAGTCCGAAAACAGGAACTTATGATTCGGTCTCCGTCCGTCCGGAGTCATATTTCAGAATCCTTTGAACCGATTCCGTTCATTCTTTGCATGTGCCTAGTACCTTATGTGGGACATATGCACATGCAGTGGTTTAGCGATTTGAATCAAAATGGCTGACTGGCAGCCATCTTGTTTTTTGAAAATGTTGTATTTTGGACATGCTTTGTCAGTTTTCATTCAAATTTGGTACATAGATTATACAGGTTAAGACACATGTCCTCTAACCATCTGTCCATCCGTCTGTCTGTCTGTGCACTCGTTCGTCTGTGCGTTCGTTTCAGAGTCCTTTGAACCAATTCTGTTCATTCTTTGCATGTGCCTAGTACTTTATGTGGGACATATGGCAGGCATCTTGTTTGTTTTTTTAAATGTATCTTGGACATGCTTTGCCAGTTTTCATTCAAATTTGGCACATACTTTATACATGTTAGGATACATATCCATGACAATTTGTTTCAAAATCCAATCAAGGATAGCCGATTGACAGCCATCTGAATTTTTGGCCGTATTACTATTCCAAGATTTATGTACCATTTTCCAAGATTTATGTACCATTTTCATTCGTATTTGGCACATTCATCATATATGTCACTTTGTTTCATAATCATATCAAAGATGGCCGAATAACAGCTGTTTTTATCTGTGGCCATATTACTATATCTCTGTCATCCATGTATCATTTTCATTGATATTTAGCATGTCATTAATGGATAAATATACATGTCAATTCAATTTGTAATTTGATCAAATTCGGCTGACTGGCGGCCATCTTGTTTGTTTAAAATGTGATAACTTGGACATGCTTTCACTTGTGATCTATGTTTTTCTTTGCTATGTCTTAAACCGGAGGGGTCATCACGCAACACATGTTTGAATTTGATGTAAATAAACAATCTGTTGTATCTGCCACTTGGGACTCAAGTTTCAAGGACATGCACGCGACAACCCTTCACTTTAATATGACGAGCACAAAGAGAACATTCAAAAATTCAACAGGGACTGTGTCATTTTCAATGACTTGTTTCCTGTATAACCTGTACCATCTATCCCCACTTACCTCCCCTTTATAAATGGAATTACTGTGGAATACTTTATTTTCGCTGGAATTAATTTTCGCTGAAAAGGCTTTTTGGGCATTTTGTATGGAATTTATTTTCACTGATTTTTGATGAGTTTAATGTGAAATATAGGAAAAAAAGTATATTCGCTTTATTTTCAGTGAAAATAGCGAAAATAAAGTATTCTTCAGTAATTTGTGGATTGTGTCTGAAGTTGACTTAAGCGCTGCAAGGGTTACAGGATATATGACTACTGTGTATGTAACTGACACATACTGCAATCAAAAATAACTAAAACTTAGTATTATAATGTTGTTAACTTGTATAGAACTCAGTATAACATTATTATTTCAGGATACAGCAATTTGGCAGTTATAGATGATTTACCAACACTGAAAAGAGTAGAGAGAGATGTAAATACTGAAACAAAATATGTAGAACTTTACATTGTCAATGATCACAGAGAGGTGGGTTATTTTCTCTATTATAAACACATGCACTTATAGCGAGTGCAGCGTGAGTGGCCGATGACGAGTTCTATAGACAACATGTGTATATATGGAGTATGGACGATATCTGTATACCCTGAGAGTTTGAAAACATGTACTTCCGATCAATGGATGCTAGCATTTTGTTTGTTGTTTTACAAATTATGAGAAGCAAAAACAGCTTATTCATAATAATGTTCAATGATAATGCAATCGATTACTGGCAATGAACTGAAAATAGTTCCGCTTTGAATAGCGTTTAGAGTCAGTCATTTTGATCAGCAGCGAAACATGAATCATGTGTGCCGCCATCTTGAATCCTGAAGTTCGCGCACTTTATTTACCACATTTTTAGCTTTGTTGTCAACAAAGATGACAGAGCGAAGTGATTGTTCATCTGTCTCTCTGTTAACAGTTAGTCTTTCAACTTCTTCATAAAAAATACTGATCTAATTGATTTGATACTTGATCCAATTTGGGTGAGCTATTTTTGGTAAAATTCTTATTTTCAACTTAAAAATTACTGATTTTATATTTGATATGTTGGTACCTTTGGTGGAACTATAATAACAATGTGATTACTTGTTGTTTGGGTTGATGCTCTGTTAATATATTGTAAATAGTTTGGCATTCTGATGATAAATATATAAACAAGAACAGAACAGTGTTCTACAGTCATAGTAATATATTAAATATAACATCACATGACAAGGATTTATATGAATATGCAGCGTATCAACCATACTCGACCGCGTTAGCCCCCAGTGTCTTCAACTCAGAAAATTATGATTTTTTAGAGGTGGGTGCTTACCCGAGCACCCCCCTCAAAAAGAGTGCAAATGACAATTTTAATTCACTATGTGACAGATTGATGGGAATATTACGTCTTTGAGGGGAAAATAAAATTACGAAATTAGTTGTGTCGTATGTATGTACATGATGATGAGGATCACATGATCTTTCAAGTCCCATGCATTCATCAATCAAACATATTTTGACCAATAGTATCATAGATTACATTGAATTCTGGGAATTATTCGATTTCATAAACAAAAATTAGCAAGATTATTGTTGTGTTCGTAGAAGAAAATCACACATCATACGTGGAGTGTTAATAAGTAAGAATTGCAACTCAGATGAACTCAATTCATCCATTTAGCCACTTAGCATTTCTAAAAATTTGTACATTTGTCGTTTTGTGTTCATCTCACAATTCATGAGATATTGTCGTACCACGTGCATACACTTGTCACATAACTCCTTGACATAATTATTACAGTTTTGAACATTATGATGTTAGAAAGGTGAAAATCCAGTATTTGTGGTTACATGTACATCAATGGATGTTATTTTAAAACAAACAAGGCTTTATTTTTATTTCTTGTTTTCCCAACATTCAGTTTGAATATTTGGAAAGGGATATTACTAGAGTGATGGAGAGAACCAAGGAAATTGCTAATATGATGGATTCCGTAAGTAAAACCATTTTATTTTCACAAATTTTTTCGAGTCAGGGAATAGATTTAAACATTTAGTGAAGATATCCTTAATCCTGTAAGTTTGTCATTTTTGATCATAAATGGTTTTGTTGACTTCTTCTTAAAAACCTCTGATCGGTTTGATGCTCGGTATAAATGTACTCTGGGTCAGATTGCTTGTTGACTTTCCAAATGATATAAAATGATGATTGGCTATATTCAATCAAAGATACACGTACCTGTATTAAAGGGGCACCTTCCAGTTAAGCCCAATTTCACAAAAAATTTTCTTTCTGGATTAAAATTACAATGGATAACAAAAGGTCGATTAATATTGTAAACAACATAAACAATAGTGTCCCATGATTCTTTGGGTTTGGAAGGTTCCCCTTTAAGTATTAAATATTTTTTCTGACTGAATATTTACTAGCGACAACGTCATGTTGCCTCTCGGAGCTTTGAGATGAACTGCTATGCTATTGGTCTTCATTCTGTTTTAATAATGCATACAGTGGAAATGTGATTAAAGGAGTGAGGTGAAATGTTTGTTGCTATTTACTCTGCATCTGTGAGTGGGCAACTGCTTCTGCAATGATTTTATTGCAATAATATATTTACCAGTATGTATACGCCGTACAGTTTTGGTATGTTTGTTTAATTGCAGTATTATCAAGACTTGAATATACGAATAGCATTGATTGGTATGGAAGTCTGGAACCAAGGGGATATGATAGATGTTGTTAGTAACCCAATGCGGACTATGGAGAATTTTCAAAAATGGAGAAAAGATACTCTTCTTCCAGTATCTTACAATGATAATGCACAACTATTAACGTAAGTACCGATATCAACATTTGCATCATGAATCTTTGTATAAATAATGTCAATAAAATTCAATCATTTTGGTTATGTCATCACTGATACGGATGACATCTACACTCATTTTGATTATGTCATCACTGATATGAATGACATCTACACTCATTTTAATTATGTCATCACTGATAGGAATGACATCTATACTCATTTTGATTATGTCATCACTGATATGAATGACATCTACACTCATTTTGATTATGTCATCACTGATATGAATGACATCTACACTCATTTTGATTATGTCATCACTGATAGGATCAACATCTACACTCATTTAGATTATGTCATCACTGATAGGAATGACATCTACACTCATTTAGATTATGTCATCACTGATATAAATGATAATGTGTGTCATCAGTGTTATGTGAATGACATCATTTCTGATGATGTCAATACTGGTACGAGTGACATAACCGTAAATAATACTTCTGTTCACATTTCCTGGTATCATTATTTGTGTGTCCTACTATTTAATATTTCTGATTACAGAGGGCGTACATTTGATGGTAGTACTGTGGGTATGGCATCTTTAGGTGGTATGTGTTCATCAGAACGATCAGCTGGCGTTAACGAGGTATGCATTACAATGTTATAAGCAAGGTTAAAATTGACACCTGGTAATTAAAATTGAACTGTGACTTGAGTATTCATATCTATATCACATTTATCAATAACTATCATTTATATTTTTATTACCTTTTGTACAAAGTATGGGGTATATAAATGTCTGACATCATTCTTGTGACCAGTATTAAGTATTTTTAATCAATCTTTCTGAAACCTAGTTATATTAAGATTTTGATTTATTTAAATATTTGTTGAATATTATTGCTTATTGCTATGCAGGGTCATATGGAGGTAAAAGGCCTTTTTTGAGATGAATGTGTTATTACTATATGTGAATTCTGAAGTTAATCTAGGGAGAAAAAGTAGAAACAAATCTGCTCAATTAGAAAAATTCAAATCTAGGTAAAGAAACAATGTGTCATACATGCCATGTGTTTCCACTTTGAACCCACCATGTTCTGCAAACTTTATTGAACAATTTAAATTAACCAAAAATAAAGTCTCAACTCGGTTTGATTTTAATCTTGCATTTTGTTTAATTAGTTTAATTAACTGTGACATTGCAGGATCATGGTATACATGCAGCTGATGTTGCATCAACAATGACGCATGAATTGGGACACAATATAGGATTATTACATGATACAACAGACTGTGATTGCCCTGCCCCAGAAAGAGAAGGCTGTGTTATGGAACCAGCTAGTGGGTAAGTCTGGTCATTGATGCATTGTGGGTAAATTTGGTTGATTGATGCATTGAACAATTGACTGGCAGACCCATGTTCAAATTTAACCTGGGATTGAACACTGAAAAGGGTCATCCCCAACACTCCCACCCAGGGTGATTCAATGGTGAGGCTAAATCCACAGGCGGAGTTTTATTCACTAACAAATGCAATTTGCGGGGCGATGACAAGTGATTGTGTGTGACCAGGCCTGGTTTACACTGAGAGAGTGCATTAAATTGCCATTATGCTATTATGATAGGAAGATGGTCACACAGTCCTTTCACTAAGTTCCAAACATTGATTATGGTGGTACCGGTGTCTGGTAGCATAGTGGTGGTCGCATCATTCAAATCCTACCTTAGGCTGAACATCAACGGGTCGACCCCTACCCTGGGTGAGTGTGCCACAGACTCAATGGGTAAGCCAATTCCACTGGCTGAGATTCATTCACTAACGAATGCAACTTTGGGGGAACCTTGCTTAAGGTCCGCAGGTGCTTGTGTTCGACAGGGCCTGGTTGACGCCATGATAGCGCATTACACATTGCCATTTGATAGGGAGATGGCCACACATTCCTGTCATGTAGTCCCAAACAGGAAATGACTTCTGTGGCAAAATGCACTATGTGTCAGCACTAGCACTTTCAAAAAAAAAAAGTCAGGAGATACAACAGTGACATTCAATGTCCGAAACTTTTGCCTGGCACAAAAACATTTAAAAAAAACAAAAAACATTGATTATGGTTGCTGTGAAAAATGCTCTATACATGTATGTCAGCACTCACAGTCAGCACATAAAAAGTCAGGAAAGATAAGTCACATTTAATATATGGAACTGTGACCCAACAATCTGAATATTACATTACTGTAAAGGGGTTAATTATTCACTGGGTTTTAATTTCGCTTATTTCACTGACTGGAAAAATGCACTAAATTAAAACCCAGTGAATATTTAAAATTTAGCATAGAACACATTATCTAAATGATAAAACCGTGAATTTAAACCCACTGAATATGCCTGAAATGGTAAATCAGCGAAATTTAAACCCAGTGAAAATTAGTCATTCTACAGTACTTAAAAATCTTGCATTGTGATACATTACGATGTATATTATACATCTGTCACCGTAACCCCATAAGTTACAGCATGGCGTAATTTTGCCGTATTGGACTGGGTATTTTCATCCTGCCATATTAGGAAACGCGAACTCCAAATATGGAACGATTACGCACGTAAGCATTCTCTAATAACAAACAAACAAACATGGCTACCCCCAGGGTTTGACCAGACCCCACACAAAGAAATTCGGTCAATACTCCCACTGTACTCTTCTCATAATCATAGTACCTCATAGTACCCAGAGGGACACTGCAAGCACAAGTTATTTTGAATAAGAAATTATCAAAGTGTTGGCAATTGAGCCACATAAATTTTATCCTATGATATAACACATTTTTGATACATGTATTACAGGTCTATTCCACCAACAAAGTGGTCTAATTGCAATTTTGAAGATTTGGAAGCTGCTTTACGTAAAGGTTTAGGATCCTGTCTGTTTAATTATCCACGTACTATTTACGGGGGTCCCATTTGTGGTAATGGATTTCAAGAAGACCTTGAAGAATGTGACTGTGGTAAACCAGAGGTATAGTTCACATGTTTCTTCTAACAACACTAGATACTATTAAAATCTAGGGCATGTAAGCATTGATACCATTTAGCTGTAAACACAAATTTATACTGTATTTGCTCTATTAGAAGCACATGTAAATAATTAATTGCATTATCTGTATACTGGATCATTCAAATATTACTTCTTTTACATGTATGCACTACTAATAGAACAAATATGGTAAAGTCAAAATAACTATTTGAATCCATGATTTGAATTAATGATATATCCGGTCCTCGTAATCTGGCACAAGGTGAACGAAAATTGTCTTTTGGTCAATTTTTCAAGTGGGGTGCTCAACTTAGTCCCTACCCTCTAACACGATTTTGTGAGCCAAGAACCCTGGGCGCTAAGTTGGACAAATATACATGTACATCTGCTGATAAAGTCTGAATGCTTAATTATGCATATACTTACCACATGTAGATGTTAATTTATTTGAAGTAGAATAAATTAGTAGTTTACATATGTACAAACTAAGCTGACTTGTGTTTCATGATGCAATCTTTCTACCATATTGGCATTATGTAATGGTGTTGTTGGATTGTTTCCTAATAGGACTGTGATAATCCATGCTGTAACGCTTATAACTGTACACTACATGCAAATGCTACGTGTGCAATCGGTGAATGCTGTGAAGACTGTCAGTTAAAACCACCTGGTACGTTATGCAGAGATGTCGTCAATAAATGTGATTTACCAGAATATTGCAGAGGACATTCACCAGCGGTAAGAATTTGATATCCCATGTTTATACCATGTTTCAATTTATACAGTTACTGCATATTCAAGACATTATTTGCATAAAAGATCACTGTTAACAAACACTACTGTAGAATACTTTATTTTCGCTTGGAATTTATTTTTGCTATTTTCGCTGAAGGGATGATTCCGTGAAAATAAAATCCAGCGAATATACTTTTTTTTTCCTATATTTCACATTAAACTCATCAAAAATTAGTGAAAATAAAATCCATAAAAAATGACAAAAAAGCCTTTTCAGCGAAAATTAATTCCAGTGAAAATAAAGTATTCCACAGTAATTAGGAAATTTTGGTTTTTTTTTGGAGACATCACTTATATTTACAGTTCCAGGGATGTATTGGTAACTAAGTAAACTCTTTTCAGAATCCGTAAAAACTTGCCAAGAGACATTGGTAAAACAAATTTCTGTGCACTCAGAATTTGAAATTATGCCCCAAATATATGTGGCTTTATATCACATAATTTTAGCCGACATCTGAACTATTAGAAATATTTCAATTAATAAAATTCCTTTGTGATTTTGTATTTTGTGATTTATTTATTTATTTATTTATTTATTTATTTATTTATTTATTTATTTATTTATTTATTTATTTATTTATTTATTTATTTATTTATTTATTTATTTATTTATTTATTTATTTATTTATTTAACACTTCATTTAAAGAGGGTAGGCTAATATACAATAAAGTAATTTTCATTGGGCCCTCTGTAGGGACAAAAAACACAATATACACACTATAGGCTTGAGCCATTTACAACAATTTTTTCACTAAGATAAATTTTGTAAGTTTTCTTAAAAATGCCTAAAGAGGCTGAATTGTCAGCCATGATGTCAAAAATTCAATCTTGCAGGGACCAATCAGATTGCTAGGATTGTTATTACACCGTATGGAGATTATTACACTTTTATATTACAGGTACACTGGATTGGCAGAATACTAGTATATGGAATAAAGCTATATAATAAATCCTGAGAGTTAATGCAGATTGTAAATTCTACTTTTCATTGAGGCAAATATATGTAACTCTAATGGATAGATTTTTTTTTTCTCCAGTGTCCATCTAATGTTTATCGGCAGAATGGTCAACCCTGCGCTAGTACTGATGATGCCTACTGTTACTATGGTGCTTGTGTGACACATGATAGACAATGTCTGGAATTATGGGGTGGAAGTGAGTCAATGTTTTATAGTCTGTTTCCTGATGATTATTTTGATGAACTCTTCAAAAAATAAACAAGTATAAGAAAATATTTAAAATATGTTTCTAGAAAAATAGCAACATAAAGTAAGCAAAGATTTTAGTCTGCTTTCCAACAAAAAACAAAAAAACTAAATTTTGTGACGTGGAATAAAAAGTGAAAATCATTTTATAGATGCAAGATTAATAGCATAGCGTAGTATGACTAAATCCTGTGACCTTGCCCTGAAATTTATAAAGTGATTCAGAGTATCCTGCACAAATCATAGACACATTGCATCGCAAGTGTTGGCAATGTTTTAACTTTGTCATGTACGGCTCTAGACATTGCATAAATTACTGTGAAGATACCAATAATTATTACATTGAGACGTGACTGATTTGCATATATGTAACAGGGCTTGTGATAAGTCATGAATAAACTGCAAATATGGGGGTTTGCATTACATATCTGTCTTTGCAAACTATAGTTTTTGTCTTTCCTTGTTTTTGTGGGTGATTTAATTATTATTATGTTGCTGTTTCAAATCTGTATGGTTTTATTTTGAGAAATATATTTTTCCTCCTATAAATTGCATAGAATTTTTTTTTCAAAATTTTCTCTGTGTAGTTTTATTTTCTCAACCTCTCCTCACTCCCAGTGTTAATAATTGTATTGTTCTACTTCTGTATTATTGTGACATTTGACCTAGTCTTGTAATTACTTATGCAGGCATGCCCAGTAGTGCCTAGCAACCAGGAGCTCTGTCATCAGTTGGTTAAATGAACAAACCAATCCTTTCCCTCAGATAAACTGTCTCATAATGATTCTTTAAGAATATTACAATAATGGTCAACCACTTGTATATATATATATATATATATATATATATATATAGAATGTCTGTATTATAATGTGTTTATTTGTATCTTACAGCCGCTAGTAATTCACCAGAACTGTGTTATACCGAAACCAATAGAAAAGGTGATGAACTTGGTAATTGTGGTCAAAATGAAGATGGTACTTTTGTAGCGTGTCAAGCTAAGTAAGTATATTATGAAATTAGGAATGTCAAGCCACTTCCTACCTAACAACAAGAGACGATGATAAAACAACGTCAAACACAAAAATAATGAATACGCGACTACTCCAAATTTGGTAATGGAAAATACTATCTATAATGTAATGTTCTAATTCAAACATTAAGGTAGCAAGAAGGGAAATTTTCACTTTTTTCTTGATTTTTCAAAAATTGATAAAACGGTTACTTCAGACCTTGATACATCATCCCAGATTTACAAAAGATCCAAATTGCAAAATAACGTTAAATTAAATTAGTGTTTTAAAACGCTAGAAGAAAAGACTACAACTGCCGTTTCATGCATATTTGCATAATGTTTATCA